GCTCAAGATTCATCGTTTGGAAGAGATGAATGCTTTGGAGGACTCAACATGTGTTAAAATGGGTGAGAAGGCTGAGAGATCAACATGGAGAGGAGATGGTAGCTGCTTCTGAGGGTAAAACTGTATGGAACTCTGTTGGTGCCAGACCAAAAAATCTCTCAGGAAGGATTCAGCTCTAAGATGACATGCTGTTCATCTGCAGATAGAATGATTAAAGTCAGAACAAGATCTGCTAACAACAATAATCATTCTTAGATATCACTTGTGTTTATCTTTGTGTTTTCCATTGACCTTGTATCAAATCTTGCTAAGATGACATAATGGTGTTTGTTAATATATATATGAGGCCTCTCAACAATGTTCAACATTAGTGTGGAGACACAGTGACAGAGAGAAGCAGAGGCACAGAGACAGGCCAGGTTATTCTCTGTGTTTCCTATTGTTGCAATAAAACTCAGCTGATCATCTCATGGAGTACCTTCATCCTTGGACCACGTATTTCTGTCTTCTAACAAATAATTCATTTAACTGCATAACAATAAGTTGGTTTATAGCTTGGATACTTTATTTACAAAGTGGAGCTTTTTCACTGCAGTGTTTTCTTGGGGGCTTCTCAAAGAACATTTTCAGAGTATCTTGGCAAAATAAAAACACTTTTTGTTTTGTTTTTGGTAGTACCACCTAAGGCGACCAAACAATTTATTCCAAAATGTTACTCTGGATAAAATGAAATAATTTTTAAATGACAACCTTTTCAATATAGTAGCTTAATGTCTTGATATTAAGGAAGATTTGAAATGGCTRAGATGATAACTATTCTGTTACTGTCCAGACAGATTCGACGATGACCTATTTAACATTAGGAGGTTCTGTTCTACCACCAAACTATCAGGATTGTGACTTCTTGAGGTACAATGTGAAGATGGCTGTGCTATAGTGGCCCACTCACCACATAGCCTTCAACCCCCCTTGATGTGGTCATATGGGCCTACAGCAGGATGGAGCTGTCCTCTCCAAGTCATAAGGGATCTGCTAACAGWGTTATACTGTCCTACACACACTGCCCATCTCCACAAACAATAACAAACGACTGGCAATCGCTCTGTTCTTTAAATATCTGGGCAGTATTCTATCAGAGGACTACAGTATGGACCAYAACATTTAAAACTGGATCAGGSAAGYGTCAGCTGCTTTTGGGAAATTACGYTGTAGAGTCTTCCAAAACAAAATTTTCCATCTTGGATGTGATCTGGATGCCTCAGCATCGGCTTCCATGAAGAGTGTCGCATGGCCCATTATATCATGGTCAGCGCTTAGCTGGAGGGCAGAAAAAAGATATAAAAACCAATCAAAACCTCCTTGAGGAAGCGCAACATTATGCGTCAGACCTGCTGACCGTGTCTTCTGGCAGCWGAAAAGCTTTGCACAGGTTGGAGGACATGACTGCCCAAAGAGAGAGGAAACGAGAATACAGAGACTCAAGAGGAACAACACTATGCTCCACATGCAATAAAATATGGGGCTTCCRAATTTACCTTTTTGTAAGGCCCAGCATTAAAGAGAAAAATAAGTTGAACAAAAGTTGAAGAATATCTTCAACGCAGGATCTAAGTCCAGTTAAAKAATAGTTCCAGATGCGTGACACTTGCCGACTTCTAACTTCATCAGCTGACACTGACAGCCTCAGAAATCCTTCTGTGCCATGCCATCACCTCAGCCCTCCAGCTGTTGACCTCAGCTGAACCTCAGCTGACTCTCAGGTTCTGTCATCCTTCCACAGGTCTGATCAGGAAGACTCCACCCACATGACCACATAGACCTGTCATGATAAGCAATAAATCAGTTAATCACACAATAAATTACAGTGAGGTTGATAATTTTCATTTCTTGTAACCTCTGTAGCAYRAGAGYCCCGTGAACGGGTMTTTAGCTATAGGAGCATTTTCGGTTTTCAGACTCCTCCTTTCAGCTGGCAACGCCTCAGGACGCCCTCAAGGCACTGTTC